TGATTGTGTGTCAAAAGTATTGTGTTGTTTTGCCTCCACATCTACAACCCTCCTCTTAACATTTTGTGTCAAAGCTTGAAGTTTACTTTTCAATATAACATTGTTGTGCATCTATAGTTTAACCGCACCTTGTTAGATTGAGAAGCAGCTTCTTAACCAACTGTGCTCTGTCGCTGTACACCCCTTGACACAAGCTTCGTAGATATAAACCAGCTTCAGCAGATAATGCGTCTGACAGGAACGCCCCCAGCAACTCTAATAAGCAGGATGCCCAGCCCCGAGGTGAGCAGTACCAACCGGTCTGACTGTTGACCAGACAGCAGAGCAGGGCAGGAGGACAGTCATTCTTTGCTTTTAAGGAACTCTTGGCTAAGCTTCCTGTTTTAATTTGCGCAATTTATACCACTTTGGTTAAGGGAAGTGTAAGGTCTAAGGCAGTGGTTCTCCACTGATAGGTCGGTAACCGAAAGTGGGTCGCAAAAATGTGCCTGGAAATAAAACGTGTTAAAAAATGCTTAAATGCTCTTTTTTGGGTTCAGTTTCCTGTTTCTGTTGCACGTATAGTACCACCACAGGTCCAAACTGCACACTTTTCATAATAATTCTGATTGGTTAAAGAACATGAGATTTGGGTTGCGGTTTCTCATGGAGGAGTAGATGGTGGGTCCTGAGGCTAGAAGAGTTGAGAACCACTGTAATAAGGAGCAGGACAGCCTCTGGGGGTGCACTGCTAGCAATTCAAGATTTCAATTTTCCAGTTTAATCACAATAATTGTGTGGTTTCTGACACGCTTGCTTCATTTGACTGTATCAATAATTGCAGAATGCCCCTGAATGTTTGTGGTTAAAGCGTTTTATGAGCTTGTCCTTTCACTTGTTTGTTTTAGAATAGTATGAGTGCACTTGGTGTTTAGTATCCAGGCATATTGGAGCTACAGTTGTTACTAACACTGTTTACCATATGAGAGCTGCTTTGTTCTGTGATTCTCTTTTTCTGTTGCACATTTGTTGACATGTTCTTTTAATAACATAGATATACATGTTGTTTTTTTAATTAAGGATGACAACAAATTTGTTTTGGTCTGCAATCTAAAAAATGTTCAGCCACACGAAGAGGTTATTAACTATGAAAAAATATGAGCAGTGACATAAAATAGATGTCTTTTTTTTTTTAGTACATTACAATACAGTATCACACTAGGACATCTTGCTGTTGTTACACAACACATCAGGGCTGTTAATCACACATCTGGCACAAGCTACACATAGCTTTCACACAAGGTGTTTTTGGCTGCTTCATTTCACTTCCCATAAAAACAAAACCTTGTGGCAACAGAAATAAAAGACATACATTCAACTTCAAGTGCATACCAGTTGAAGTGTCACAACATTTTCTGTTAAAACTTAAAACTACATTCTTTTGTTTACATGGCTGTAACTTCTGTGGTTGATGGTCAGTAAAAACTTGTCTCAGGATCACCTCGTTTACTGTAAACGCGATGATCAGCAACGTCAGGCATGAGAAAACACAGCCAACCTTGGTTGTGTGGGGACTTTAAATAAGGGTAAAATAATTAGCTTTCCTGTAAAACTGCAAAAACAAAAGTAATGCGCCCTCGTGGCATATACTACAGAAGGGTATGAGCTTTAGAAACACAACTCAAATTAGTATTTTTTCAGGCATTCAAGATTACAGGATGCAGTACAGTCACACTTGCAGACAGAGATTTGAGAGATGATGTCAGTGAACAGAAATGATTGGATGCAGGTGGCTACTTTGAAGAGAAGCAGACGCGTGAAAATGTTGGAGCATTATGAAACAGGCAGTGATGAATGGCGGGCGACACGTTGCAGCTAGTAGGAGATTAAATTTGATTGACTGTTTTTCTTTTCCCAGGCCAGAAACTACATCGGCTCCCTGCCTCATATGCCCAAGAGGAACTTTGCTGACGTGTTCATTGGTGCCAACCCACAAGGTACTGCCAGAACTGTTTCGGATCATAACTTTGGCCTCACTACATGTTGTATTTGAGGCATCATAGTCTTTATTAGATTGACTACAGATAAACTTATTTTACAGCTGTGGACCTCCTGGAGAAAATGCTAGTTTTGGACACGGACAAGCGGATAACAGCAGCTGAGGCTCTCGCTCATCCCTACTTCGCTCAGTACCACGACCCAGACGACGAGCCCGAGGCAGAACCGTACGACCAGAGCTTTGAGAGCCGCGAGCTGGAGATTGAAGAGTGGAAACGTGCGTAATGAAGAAAAAAAATCAGCATAAAATCTATATATCCACATACCTGTTATCTATAAATAATATGCCTCATTGCTATGGAAACAGTAGAGTAACCTTCATTCTATTTGAACATTTTCTCTTTCTTTCCAGGATTAACCTACGAGGAGTTGTGTAGTTTTGAGCCACATATTTTTGACGAGGAGGACATGGAGTAACGCGGCCCACATCGCATCTTTTCGCCAACATTTTCAAACAACCTTGAACATGTGCATTGGTGTTAGTCTCCCAGACACACTTGCATCAGAGTGCCAACCTGCCCCAGTCAGTTCTAATTAACCAGGAAATGATCCATTATTAGCTCCCTTTAGGAACATATTACCAGCATAGACAGAGCATGAGCTCCACCAATAATCATCTTTCTTATTTATGAACCACTAATGTTGATGGTTTTCTTGCTGGAAAATATTACTTTATGCCAATAGCTGACATAATTTTTTTTATTCTTCTGATTTTTTTAAAAATTTAGACTTTGATGACTCGTCACTGTGACATTGAGATGCTGAAATGCCTGGACCTATAGCTGTGTTAAATTTTCTATTGAGTAACTTATGAATAAGCTTTTGTTGTACATCTACAGGATTATGCTAGTGTATCACTCACCCTACCAAGCTGTAACACATAGCAGTAGGTCACTGTTCCTGTATTGAAATAGAACTTACTTTCAAAGTAGTGACAGGAGTAGATTGAATGTTTTTAGACATTTGACAATTTGAAAATGTGGCTGCTCTGTGTTGACACTTATTTTTGGGGCTACACTGAGTTTCACACATTTTGTTTATTTGACTGTTGAGATGCTCTGTCAAGCTCTCTGTTGTTACACAGAAATCTGTGATCCTCTGCTGTTTTAAAGACAGTGTAATTTATAAGGCACCCAAGAAGTAGGAAACAATATTCAGGGGCACAGGCTCTGCTCAGAAACATGTAAATATCTGTGCCATATTTTTTAATTGTGGTTATGTTATGAAACAATCACTTTTAGTATTGTCAATCGGTTTAAGAATTTTGTGCGTTTGTGAGAGTGTGTTGTCGGTTTACAGGAAATTTAAGTGTCATGCTATAATCTTTAATTGAAATACAGCTTATATGTGTAAAAGAGGGATTTCAGATGTATTTATACTTTGTGGAGGTGGTATTTATAGACAACAATCAAAAGATCCCTTAAACTATTTTCAGTCCAGCAGACTAACTACTATCCTCAGTCCTTTGTTTAACAAAATAAAGACTTATTTTTAAGAGACCTATGATTTTCTTTTCCAATTTCATATGCATTGTTTCATTTTTTATTCTTAAAATACATTTTTTAGCATTTCCTTCGGGATTTTACTTGAGAACGAAGTAATGAACGGATGTGAATGACTTATTGTGGAAGATTTGTTTTAACAAAATATTTTTTCCCCTTAATGCACGTTTTTACTTTAAAGCACACAACGATGACTAGTGACATAACCACACTGCTAAAAGCTTTTTAGCAAAACAGATCAACTAAAAATTAAGATTAAAAGAAGAAGGAAGAAGATTGGCTGGGAAGTTACAGATAAAAAAAAAAAATGTCCTCAAAGTAATAGGATTTTAAAAATAAAAATAAAGTCTTGGCTTTCCTATGAATCACCTGTTTGTAAGGAGGCTTGGCTGTTGCATTTTTGTCAGGGTCAAGCATCAGTATTTTTAAATTGACATCTATATACAGAATGTCCTTAAAGTGTCACATTGTTGAAAGAAAATTTCAAATTCATATTAAGCATCTGTTTTCAAGACCCTGGCAAAATCATGCTAAAACAATACCCTGGCCTGGTTTTATAGACCAGAGTTCTGATATTATTATTATTTATCTACCAGATAATTGAAGGAAATTATTGTGCAGAAAGGTCAGGTTTGAAATGTTATAGGATTTTTTTAAAGATAAATTTAGCCATTGTTATTTACCTGTAGGCTTATATCTGCCCCTCACTTTGTTTTGGTCACAACTGTTTATCGTCCACTTTTAAGTAACCCTTGCCTATGTGCACTATTTAATTAGGAAATAAAGATAAAAAAAATAGATTCCATATCATTGTCAGCACCGAATATACAAAAATACTTTATCAGTATGGCTGTAAAAAGACAATTAGTGGTATGAACTTGAAAACTAATGCTAATGGAGGTTGATAATGGTGTGGGTTTTATTACAGTGTATACCAGTGTCAAATCAGTCTCCACTGTGAATAAACTTTGTGGTAATATCTTATTAAATCAACATAAGCTTAAGTTTTTTTTAATTCAACACAAGCCCAATACATTTTGCCTGACAATTATTGAACCCTAGTGTTCATTCTAGTTATTTTAGCCACAAGCAAAACAATTTGCTTGCCAAGGACAGTGTTGGAAAATTAGCCACGACATCTACTCTGTATTTTATATAATGTGTCCTTGTTAAATAAACATAATAAACAAAAAGAGATCACTTTCATTAAGGGCTGATCATTTGAGACAAACAATATTACATGTTCTACAATTCTATAATTCCTAAATTACGGTAATTGCAGAATTGTAAAACATTTTGCAGCCAATGTATTACTGTAAACTTAAATATAGTCCAAAAAAAGATAATTTGAAATCATATTAGTTTTTTTCTCAGTCCTGACCCTGCAGCTTGAGTGTAGTAAAAAACTGGTTCTTAAAGCTTGTGTGATGCCCAGGTGGACACATCACAGGGGAAGCTCCCCTTCAGCAAATCGAACCAGTGCGCATGCGTGGAACATTCGATCACTGTTGGTGTAGCTAACGGCTAGGCTACGGATCCAGCCAACATGGAGAGAAAAGGTAAATCTTTACACCGACACGCCGCACACTGTACGAGAATTGTTTAACCCGCGTGTGTGTTGACAACTGCAGTCGATGTTCCTCCGCGGGCACACACCTAGGTTAAAGCCAAAGCTGCACACATTCAGATGGTGATTTAAATGAACGCGTCTCTGTCACGCACTGTTGAGCTGGTGCGAGCTACGTTAGCTTTCTAGACATTAGCGTTAGCCTCAATGGGACATGTCAGGATAATCCTGCTAGCTGCGTTTAGCTGTGTAGCGCTTTCTGTTTTTTGTCACAGCCTATAAACCGACAACATAACGCACAGTTGGTATATTAAGCTTACACACAGCCCCGTAAGTGTCTGGAATTACTCCATTATCGTTTCTTTTCTTTAGGAGAAATGTAACCTCGATAGGTGGGTAGCTTAGTGATGTAACTCCACGTTAGATGGCTTATAATATCAAACTGTGTATCTGGCACACAGACAGATAAACTGCTGTGGCTGTTTACATTCATTTTTGTCTATATAAATGAACACAACATGACTTCTGAGCTGTAGGTACAGTGTGTTGTAGCCTCAGACAGTGTCATCCTTTTTGTCTCGAGTGTCAACTAGACATCAAACAGTAACCAGACAATGGTAAAAAAAAATAATTGCTCTCTGGTTTCTTCTCACAGTTCTGGCACTACAGGCGAGGAAGAAGAGGGCGAAAGCAAAGAAGACCAGCAAAAAGTGAGTTTCAGTCCCAACTAAGCTCCGTGTCGTATTACAATCTGCAAGCATGCATTCATGAATGATGTCAGATGGAAGAGGGGGGCTGTTTGTTGCAGTGACACTCGTGCTTGTCTGCTCACACTTAAAAATGGACAAAAAAAAAAGTCCTTGACTGCATGCTTGCGTTTAAATGTTTATTTTCGTCTGTGCATGGTCCAAAGAATAGAAAGTGAAAGACTGATAAAAAAAATCCCAAAAGAGTAATTACACTAAGCACCATGGGTTGTTGTTCACAGCTCTTTTTGCATGTTGTTATCATTTGGACAATTATTTTGATAAGATGTAATATTGAAAGATATCTTTATAGTTTGTGCATTATGCAGCGCCTGATAAAATACAGCCAAAGGGCTCTGTCCTTTGATGAAAATGGTGTATAGCATGAAGATTATGCTACGTAGAGGGCTAAAAATAGACTATGCAAAGCGGCGATCTGTGATGCTGATTGTTTAGGTGTACCTAACAATCTACTAATCATGCCATCGGTGGTGTCCTCTGGAGTGTTGCATAACGGCCTGTGCTATATTTAAAAACCAGAGAATGAAGAAGCCCACATCAGCCCACCGAAGCATGGTGTTTCACAGAAAGCAGCACTATTGCAGATACTCACCTCCTGACAGCGTTATCTTCATGGCATGCCTGTCAGACCTAAGACTCATTTAATGCTCAGAAGCTAAATATAACTTAACCATTGCATGCCACAGTTATCCTTGCATGGTGAGAACCATATGTACGGAGGAGCAGAAGGACTCTCAGTCATGCTGACAATCGTCAGTATGCTGGATCAGACGTTGGGATACAAATCAGTTCAATGTACAGTATACCTCTCAAGGTAGACATACATCCCGACTTGAGTGCTGTTTTCACGGCTGCGTCAAAATAGGCACAACCATTCAAAATGAAGGCAGCCATGTTTTATTTTCCTGTCATGGAAAGATTTCTATTTGAGTTTTGTCTGGCTCTGCTTTTATTCCTCTGGTCTATCCCTGTCTGCTTTCTTCATTAGTCAACACAGAGCTGTGACTGATCATTCTCTCTTTTTTTTTTTTATTACCAGTACAGATTGCTACTCTTCACTAATGTGTATCAATAACAATAATTGCTGTGATACAAGAGTAATGAATGCATTTCAAATGGAAAAAGATATCAGAAATTGCAAATCCTGTTAAAATCCAAAGTTGTCCAAAATCCTGTCTGCTTAAAATAACCATGTGAGGAATGAATAAGTCGGTTGCAGTTTATGTGTAAACCATTAGCCCACTTCTGAGATGGTACAGACCAGTTTAGGATTTGAATGTGATCACAGCTCTCTCCCATGGAGATGAGCAGCCTTAATCTCCTCTGTGGAAGAAGTAACATCAGACTGTTAATAAGTTAATATTAGCTGCCAAACTGTTGGCAAACACTGTTTATAATTGCTCATATATACACAGACACAGTGCTTACCTGTTTCACATGCGATTGCTATTACTTTATCAAGATTTAAGATTTGTATTTGTCACATGCTCATACAGATGTGCAGTAAAATGTTAAGACTGTTTAGCAAGGCCAACACCCACTCTATAAAACACTACAAACAATCTATAAACCCTCTATAAACATAAAATAACTGAATGCATTGTATTGTTTTAGAGATGTTCTGATCTGTAAACTCTGATCAGTTATCCCAACTACACACATCAGAAAGGTTTAAACTCTGAGTGAATCAAAGAACTGTTATCTTTTTTACTTCAAATGAACCAAAATAATGAAACCTTAAATAAGGGATTATTCTCATGAAATGTTTGACATACATACCTCCTAAAAAGCTGGTTTATTCCAATATGAAAGACCATATTTAGTCAAACAACGACTCTAGGCATTCCTGTTGTTCAGTGATGCCAGAATTGATCATTTATTTGTATTGAACAGTAAAAACATGCATACAGAAATAAAAAACCCAAATGTATAATAGGCAAAGACTTTGATTTGTGTTTGTTTGCTTTTAATAAATAATCCATCGCACACATCCGTCTGCCCCTCTTTTGTCTGTACTGGACTTCTTTTGGATTAATGACTAAATACTGATTTGAAATACTGATTTGAAATACTTGTTTTTACGATCCTAAGTTTTAAATCTTTGATGACTTGCTTTAGATGATTTTGTGTCTTCCACCTGACAACCACACAAAATTAGAATATTTAATTATCTTCCAACACCTAGCACTGAAGTCCTGATTCAGCAGTGTTTTATATTTGTCCTAATTGAATGATACAGTTGGACGTTGCACACTGAACCTAAAGTAGGACTGTGCTAAAATTAGCAAAGCCATTCTTGTTCAGACCTGTTGACAGCTGAATAGCTATGCATTAGAAAATACTGCCTGCAGCACAGATGTCTTTAAATATTACCTTGATGTTGTGATGTGTCCTGTGAGATATCTGTGGAAGTAGGAGAGCCTGGGTGGATCTGTTGTGGCAGGAAGTTTGTGACAGCTTCAGCACCATCTTAGAAAATCTAGAAATTCAAATCCAGTTTTGATTACCAGCGGCTCTTCAGTGTCTAGACTGTATTAAAAAAAAACAACCCATTATTATATCAGTAACAAACATTTAAATGAAACTCCAACCACCAAGCCCGACAGTAAACACATGGAAGTGCAGAGGTGGTCACATAAAATGTATGTTGACATGCCAAAACTGCTATTTGTTTACTGAAATATATGTTTATTACTTCAAGTAGATCTGCTCTCTTTGCTCTCTCTGGGAAACTGTGAGACCCACCTTTTTTAAAAGCTTATTTTAAGCATATAATACAAGCGGCAACCTCTCTTGAAAAATGAAGCCAATGCCGAAGTGATAAATCCTGCAGTTTGTCGAGTATCAGCTTGAGGCTGGCTCCAGGAGCCCCTGAAGTCTCATACACACCACAGCCAAGAAAAGCCATTTTTTACAGCAGCAATTAACAGGTTTATAGCCTTCTACAAAAGATGAAATAGGTCAGGTTAGGTATTGTCTTCATGGGCACACACTGTGGTGAATTCCTTTTTTTTTTAAACAACTTAACTGTCTGTCATAAGTTCTAAAGCCCGCCTCAGTGCCAGCTTTTAGCTTATCATTAGGTTGACAGAAAGTTAGGCTGAGACAGGATTTCCAGCATGGCGGCTGCTGCCCAGGAGCCCCCTGCCGTAAAAGATGGGTGACGTCACCTAGACTTCGTCCATTAATTTGGCAAAGTTCGCAATTGATGTTATCAGAAGTGTTCTGGTTTGGTTTGTAAGTGTTATTAATTAGCATACCCATTACCCATCAGTATCGGTTCATTGTAGGAGAACAGTCCATGTGTATAAAAATTGGACTGGAACCCTTTGGCTATCATCTGACACATATTCACCTTCTTTTTTTTAAAATCTGCATGAACACACAACTACAAATTAGTAGGCTTACAAACAAGTAGTAAATGTCTTATCTAAAGTTTAGAAGTTTTAGACTTGAATCTTCATGTAACTAGTTGTTCTGTGAACAGTCTTTCTTGAGAATATTTAGTCCAATGTCAGTCAGTAACATTGTGAATCACGTTTAAGTTTCTAATAATTAAATTGAGCAGATAAGGACCAACGCATTTCTTTCTTTTTTTGACATTCAGAGGAAAACAAGACACATGTTTGAAGTTACACCAAAGTCACAACACACAACCAGTTCCAGATGACATCATTCAGGTGACAGTCACAGGTTTAAAGGTTTGATGTCTCTCACATCAGAATAATGCCAACTGCTCTTCTTTGTTTGGACAGTTGATTCCTGTAATGCATTGGGAAGGGACTGGGTGTGGTTGAATTGATAGAGTTTTGGCCTAAGAAGTTGTTCGTCAACTCTAAAAGTTATGTAGACAGACTATATGAAAGAGGTGCTGTTGATCATCACAGGTCTTCTTTAGTTTTGTCATAAATTGTTGAATATCTTCCCCCCCTAATGAAGTCTATGCTTGTTGTTGATTTGCACATTTTTGTCCCATCAGACAGCCAGTCAATCCCAGAGCTCGACAGCCAACCCAACTGGAGGCCTCACCGCAGGAACCTGAAGAACCTGAGGAGATTCTTGGCTCTGATGATGAGGAACAGGAGGACCCCAATGACTACTGCAAAGGTGAGTCCTGTTTCATTACACAGTTGGAACCAGTTGTATTTAACCAGATGGTATCACTTGTTTGGCGAGTATCTATTACTTTTCTTTCTAATGGAGGAGTTTTCCATTAAATTGCTCAAAGTTAACTGAAGTAGGGGCGCTGGTGGTGCAGTGGTTAGTGCGCGCGCCCCATGTATGGAGGGTATAGTCCTCAAAGCGGGCGGCCCAGGTTCAAATCCAGCATGTGGCTCCTTTCCCGTCATTCCCTACTCTCTCTCCCTGATTTCCAGCTCTATCCTCTGTCCTGTCTCTCCATTAAAAGCCCAAAAATAAATCTTAGGAAAGAAAAAGTAACTGAAGTAACACAGTTTGGGTATTTATATGGCAGCTACTACAGTCAGGATATTTACATGTTTTTCCTGTCTCACTTAATTTTATTTTATTTCTGATTTAGGTGGCTACCACCACGTGAAAGTAGGAGACCTTTACAACGGAAAATATCACGTGATCCGGAAACTTGGCTGGGGACACTTCTCCACAGTGTGGCTTGCCTGGGACATCCAGTACGAACAAAACTTTTACTTCATATTCTTACTGCACTTTTAAAATTTATTTTAAAGCCTGTTGTTGGATACGGATTCAATAGCCACTAACTGTGACACTGTTGTGGTAGGAACTTGTATGGTGCTTCCTGTTAACGAACGTTTCTTGCTCTGTGGTTGCAGGGTGAAGAGGTTTGTTGCAATGAAGGTAGTGAAGAGTGCAGAGCACTACACAGAAACAGCAGTGGATGAGATCAAACTCCTCAGATCTGTAAGTAGCTGATTTCAAACAGTAACTTTAGGGAGTTGAAATCACAATACTAACTGTATATTATTATTATTTGGCATATTGGGTATATGTGCTTTACAGTGACAAAGTGACATGTTTGACCGTCCTGTACGTGCCAGTCAAACATAATAAATAAACCCCTATTGTATCAATCACATTTCCTGTTCTTTTTTCCAAGGTAAGAGAGTCAGACCCCGATGATCCCAAACGGGAGATGGTGGTCCAGCTGCTAGATGACTTCAAGATCTCTGGGGTTAATGGAACACGTATCCTTGACAACAACAAATGCTTCCTAGTGCTAACTGGTGCTTTTTTTATTACTCCGTTTTTAATCCTTATGAATCACTTCCTTTTGGAACGACTAAAGTTTGTTGAGTCTCCGAGTAACACATTGTCAAAGAGGGAATCATTCTTTCCCATGGTGTCAAATTTAGCAGGAAAGCAGTATGTCAGTAACAAAGTAAACAACAGGTGATGGGTGAAACTCCACCTATCACAACACTATGGCTGAGTAAGATCCTCTGAATGCCACAGGGATAGCAGTAACTGTAACATGAGACCGCCTAACAACACTGTACTGTGTGCACTCCTGTGACCTGCCCTGCTTTCTTTTCAGTATAAATAATGCTACTCCTGTACCTGAGAGGTAGGTAGGTACGTAGGTTAGATGAACTGGTCCTTTCTGTTTGTGCTGCCCAGGTTTCTTTCAGCTTGACTTTACTTTTATTGAGTTATTATCTTAACTACTTCGATCTTCAGATGTCTGCATGGTGTTTGAGGTGTTGGGCCATCACTTATTAAAGTGGATAATAAAGTCCAATTACCAGGGGCTGCCCCTGCCGTGTGTGAAGAGCATTGTAAGACAGGTAACAGAAGCACCCTCGTTGTCACAACTTCTTTATTCTGCTGACTTCTGCCTTTTTAAAGGTCAATTGGTAGCCTCCAGTGGTTTACACAAGCATCAGCCTCCAAGCTGTCAGTGAGAAAACCAGAAGTGTATGTGATGATTGAACATATAAACAGTAAGCAAGTAAAAGAAGCCCATATTGAGAAAAAAACAAGTCATTAACGGGCATCAATCTCTTATTCAGCATTATATTTCAAAAGACTTGCACTGGATATCTTAACTAAAAAAGGCCTGGGCTGTAACACAGTAGCAACGCAATAATCAAATAGAGTAGAAGAATTGAAGAGAATATCTTATTGTCATTGAACAGGATACAACAACATTTAGAGTGCAACCCTTCATCAATGCGACGCCAAGTTGCTAAAAAAGTTAATAGCAACCATAACACACAGTGGTAATAAAAAACAAAACACTAGCACTGCAATAAATTAAAACTGCACAGTAGTAAATTTAAACACACCAGAAAAACTAAGTTTAAAGATAGTATGACCTAAGTTGCATCAGCTTAAATAGAGCAAAGCCACTACATTTGGACGTGCCGCCATCTTCCAACAACTCCCTGCCGGTACCACACATATCTCAACTTTGGACATTGTTCCTAAATATGAATGGATTAAGTAGCCTATTGCTCAGCAGAAATAGGAACAACTTGCAGTCTGCAGTTTTTTTATACGCTGGAGAATGCTGTCACTGTAAAGCAGTGTAAGGGCTTGTGAGTGTAAGTCCTGCAAGATAGGGAGTAGTTGACAATAAATGGTAACATGACATAAATTATTTTGAGGGTCACTGGCAGCTAGACTAGAAGTGCCTAATGGCATTTCTTGACCCTAGAGGATCAGAGTAAAACAGATTTAAACTTGAAACATCCCTTTCAGGAAGTTACTGGTAATCATTACTTGCTACTTTGATTTGATGATGAGCAGATTTTCGTTGTATCATTTAACTGGCAATATTATTAAACAACATGTAATTTCTCAGGTACTCCAAGGCCTGGACTACCTGCACACAAAGTGTCAGATCATCCACACAGACATCAAGCCAGAGAATATTCTGATGAGTGTTGATGAGCCTTACGTCCGCAAGCTTGCAGCTGAAGCCACAGAGTGGCAGAGGGCAGGGGCGCCTCCCCCCTCGGGTTCAGCAAGTATGAGAGACACACACTCAAACAATGTTCTTATTTACATTCATGGGCACAGTTTGGTAACAGTTTGTACTCATCTGATGTTCTCTTTTCAGTAAGCACAGCGCCTGCTCCCAAACAGGTACACCTTGTCCATCATTCATTTTTTTTGACATCAGAAACACACAAAATCAGTCCCACAAATATGCAGCCAACAGCAAGAGTAATTTGTACTCTTATTTGTTTATTTACAGACAGTAAAAATGTCCAAGAACAAGAAGAAAAAGTTAAAAAAGAAGCAGAAGCGTCAGGCAGAGCTCCTGGAGAAGTGCATCTTAGACCTGGAGGAGATTGAAAAGACCACAGAGACTCGAGAGGAGGAAGATGATGAAGATGAGGACCCACAGTCGCCAAAGGGACGGGCCTGTGCTCCTCTCAGACAGGTGTCTCTTCAGGAACTAGGAAATGAGGAAATAGAGGGTAAGAAGCCGCCAGAAATATACACTTAAATTCTTATTAGAAGATCTGTCATGAAAATCCTGGTATGAGTCATTTGGCTGTAATCTGTCTTTCTCTGACACTCCAGAGAGCTTGAGTGCAGATTTCATGAGGACGGGACCAGAAGCACTGTCAGAAGTAAACTGTAACGGCCACGTGGAGGTGGACAAGAAGCAGTCCCAATGGAGGGACGAAGACCAACACAACGGCAACGCAGAACCCACAGAGAAATGTGCCAGTCAGGAGGAGCAGCACAACGAGTCCACTGTCAACTCTGTCTGTAATGGTGTAGACTCTGCAGATCTCAAGGAGCTGGACACTGACACTGGTGGCAGGGGTGCTCACATCAGTGGAATCAGGGAGAGATGTCTTTCTGCTGGTCTGGAGGAGGGAGAGCTGGAGAAAAGCATTTTACTGGAGGAGGAAGACGACTGTCAATATACAACCGAGGAAGGACTGAGCAACGGTCAGTCAGCCAAATTCAGTTAAGAGGTTTTGTGGTAGCTTTCTGCTCTGGCTGGCCTGCTTTGGGATTTTTAATAAAGCTCAGCCATGCAAACTTCAAAATACTGATCATCAGTCTGTTCCTTATTGGATGTGTAGTTCATTTTATCTCTCTGTGTCTCTCTGCTCTCACGTAGGCAAGCAAACAGCGGGAGCCCTGCTAGTTAACCCTCTTGAGCCACTCAATGCAGACAAGATCAAGGTCAAGATTGCAGACTTGGGAAATGCCTGCTGGGTGGTGAGTAGACCTCTAATGACCTGAGGGATTTCCTGATTAGTGATCAAGCCCTACAGTAAGAGTCACATCCAATGTCATGTAGCTATTAACAGAGTCAAATCTTGAGATATGTTACGTTCTTGAAAACGATTCTCCCATCGTAACAGGACTCTATCTGTAGGCTTTGTTCATTGCATGTCATGAAATCTTATTTTTTTATAATTCATTTCTTCTTATCTCACTCCCTCTTTTAGCACAAGCACTTTACAGAAGACATCCAGACACGGCAGTACCGGTCCTTAGAGGTACTCATTGGATCTGGATATAGCACACCGGCCGACATATGGAGCACAGCCTGCATGGTGAGCGTAAAAATAATACCATAGTAATTAACCTTAACTCTTTGAACGAGAACTTAAAAAAAAAAAAAATCTGTCATCTGTGTTTTGTTTTCATAGAAAGATAGTTATACTTTATTTATCCCCACCTGGGAATGAAAGAAAATAGAAAATGTCAGCGGGTTGGGAGTCTAACACAGTCTCTGTGAAACACATGTACCTGTCACATTTCAAGAGAAGAGACAAATCAAATCAATTTAAATACATTCAATGACAGAGCTCCTTCGAGAAACAGACACAAAGAATCACAAAGTAGTAATGGAAAAACATCAGTACTGCAATCAGCAATCGACTCAACTTTTATTTTAAACTTTGGTATCAATACCGACCCTGATGCTACAACTGTTGCATCTTTAGTTTATGGGCCTCCAAGACCTATCTATGGATATGAAACAGTTGAAGACAGTTGAAGTAAGGAACTAAACCTAATATAATAATTACCAATGAAGTGAATTCATGTCAAGTTTATTTGTATCACACCTTAAAATAAAAAACCTTCACTATCTCCTGCAAACACATTTAAAACTTGAGCTGATAAAAAGTGCTTACAGGAAAGAAGTCCATGCTGAACACATTACTACTGCGGAGTTCAAAGTTAAAGTCCTCAGTCGTGTTATGAAAGTGTAGCCAGTGTGAGAATGTTTCTCTCTTGAGCAGTGGCTTTTCCTGTGTTTATGCTACGTGTGTTCTCTCCTCAGGCCTTTGAGCTTGCCACAGGGGACTACTTGTTTGAACCACATTCTGGAGAAGATTATTCCAGGGATGAAGGTATTTGCCGGGACTTCCTCTTCCAGTCTTTTCTCTGTTTGATACTATTATTACTCGCATTCGCATTAAGTGCCAAATTTAGAAGTGCTTTTGAAATGTATGCGTCAGTGGTAAGAATCGTTTAGCGATAGTGATGGCTGTTGAAAGCTACTGCTCCTATGAAAAGCTTCACGGTGTTTTTTAATTCGTAACATTGGCCCTCATTACTGTTTTTATTGCCAATATGAATACTTAAAGTAACTTTCCAAACATCTAGAAGTGTTTCACAGGAGGCATGGCGAGTTATGACCCACACTGCCAATAATGGTGCAGTTTGCATTATAAGTGTACTTTCTCACAGTGTTAACACTGAAATGAGGTACTCCATTACAGTGATTCCAAATGTTCTCATATTTACATCGAACTTAGTGTCAGTGTTGTGATGATGAGTACCATCATTCCTGTGTTTATTTCCTCTCTTAACACCTCAAACCACATTTTTGTCTTCCCACACTGGAGACTGGGCCATCTTTCATTTCTTTGATATCTCTTTCTCACTCACCCTTCACATTTCTTTCTTCTCCTCCTTTCGCTCTCTTTATGTTGATGTTGGCTTGCTGCTTAGTTTGAGGTGTGTGTAGTTGACTTGACTCAGATGCAGCCTGGCAGGTATGTGCTGAGATCTCTCTCTCAGTTTATGGACACATGCCCTGCAGCAGTGCATCTGCTTTGTCACCTACAGTACGTACACTCACGAGGCTGCCGCTCTTTTCATCCTTCCACTATTTCCTCTTGTGTTGTGGGAATGTCCCTTTATTTTCTAATCACTCATTCTGCATCTCCTGTTAGACTTTTAGGACATACTGATGTGTTGGCTTTGCTTTAAGCTGTATTTTAAGTTAGTTTGCATCTTCATGATTTTATGTTTGATTTAAAAGTGAATCGCTTTGACGTTTAAATGCCTGCGAGAGCTTTTAATGTATAATAACAAGAGGCTTCCCATACACGTGCTTCTTGTCATATGAGGCTGTCATCATCATCCATTGTTCCTACTACATTGTTCCAGATAACTGTTCGCCATCTCTCCCTTGTCCCCTCTCCTGTTTGCCATCTCCTCCATCTTTACCCTCTCACTTTCTGTCTTCCCTCTCCTCCTCGGATGTGCCTCATTTCCAGACCATCTTGCTCTCATGATTGAGTTGCTCGGTAAAATCCCTCGTCACTATGCGCTGAGTGGGAAATACTCACAGGAATACTTCAACAAGAGAGGTATGAAACCCCTCTGTCTGTGGCCTGCTCAGGGAACAATGGAAGGGAGGTGTGTGGAGGGAGAGGTCCTGTCACCTGGCACACTTGGAACTACTAAAGTTGTGTGCAGGCCAGTGGGCAAGATATTCAGTACAGACTAGTCAGTGTCTGATACTTTAATCAGTGCCATCAGACATAGATTCAAGAAGTAGAAGTTCTGCCAAAAAATGCCCAGCTGTGGTACACTGTGCTCCTTCTTTGTTGTTGCCAGAGAACTTGGCTTGACAACAATTGTGTTGATCCCTGGAGTGAATTTCATTAAGTTGTAAGGTCAGCTTCAACTTTATTATTATCCCAAAGGAAATTAGATCTGTAGCAGGCAACACGACACGACAGGTACACAAAAGACAACATCAGAAATACAGACAGAAAATCCAAAGCTCAAGTGAAAAACAGGCACTTCAACCACACTGAGCCAGAGGCTGAAACAGTTCAGACACAGCACAGAGAAGTGCAATGAAGTGCTGTGCAGTCTGTGAAAAATAAATAGTTATGACTAATCAAGCTAAAATAGGTAAGAGAAAAAAACATTTAAATAATCAGGAATACAATCTCAAATTGTGATCTAAAAACCTGTTTTACCCACAAAAAAAACCATAAGAAAACAGCGAAGTTAGGCCAGCAGATTAAGCTTTTCATTGGCAACAGGAATGAAAGAATGTCTGGCACGTCTTGTTTTGGTTTGAGGCATTCTGTAACGACGGCCAGAAGAAAGGAGATCAGACTCAACAAACAGAGGGTGGCCAGGACAGTTAAGTATCTGTTAATAATGAGGTCAAAGTATTTATAACACAAACAACGATATTTAACTGAATAAGATCACATAAACAATAACCAGACACAGGGTACCAGTTGGCCTAGCGGTTAGGTTGCACACAACATGTACAGAGGCTGTTGTACCTCCAAGTGGGCGACCCCAGTGTACTCTGTCTTGCCTAGTCAATAAATCTTTTGTTTCTCTTAAGCACCACTGTAGCTGGTACTATCTCCTTTAAGAGATGTTCTGCAGGGCAAAACAAATGACTACTAGTCTGAATGATTGGAATAGCACCCTGGCAGTCACTGTGATGCAGAACCTTGTTAACATTTAGTTCATGCCTCAGTGCATTTTTCCTGTTTCTGTGACAGAACATTGAAAGGGCTTGATGGTATGATAACAAAACCCTTTTCTTTCAATATACACAAACCACAAAGATCAGGGAGTTGAGGATCATTTTGGATTCTCATGTTGTAGGTCGTGAAATAAAATATTTGTATAACCAAATGTTTTATAAACAGGCTGATCAGTTAAAGGCTGATTAAAAATTGTCCCCATGTTCTCTTGAAATTCCACCCAAATGTAGCATTAACCCCTTTACATTTCTCCTCAAACTGAAGCTCATGATTCTTGACTTGGAGATAAAAAAAAGGCAAAGAACTTCATGGCTCTTGAATGTCTAATGGCAATGTTGAACCCTGAGTTTTTCTAAAGTAGGTCTGTGCACCCAAACCTCTGCAACAATCTTGCCCATTTGAACGATCTCTTCCTCAACCCCCCCACCCACACCCCCTGAGTGGGCCTTTGACTGGAACACTGTCTTATGAATCTGTTTCTTTTGTCTGTCTTTCCCTCTCCTCTTACAAACTGTCTGACCGTATAGACCATATAGCGCTGATCATTGAGCTGCTGGGGACTGTCCCACGCAAACTCATAATGAATGGCAAATATTCCAAGGATTTTTTCACCAAGAAAGGTAAAAAAAAAAAGAAGTACCAGTGTCTGGATTTGCAATGGTTTTCTCATAACCTTGTGCCGCTTATGCTGAGAGTATGAACTTTTTCCAGTTTTTGAGTGTTTTTCACTTAATTCCTATGATAATAATAATTTTTTTCATAACACTTTGACTAAGTATCAAGTAATATTTAAAAAATGGCTGATGCAGATATTGGAACATGATTCTTTACTCTTAAATACTTTGTAAATATCATCATTGCATGTTGCATGGATCTGATACAGCGTTGTGTGGCTGTGGTTGTGTGCAGGTGAATTGAAACACATTACCAAGCTGAAGCCGTGGGGTCTGCTGGAGGTGCTGGTCGACAAGTACGAGTGGCCCCGCGAAGAAGCCGAGTGCTTCACCGACTTCCTGATTCCCATGCTAGAGCTGATCCCAGAGAAAAGAGCAACGGCTGCCGAGTGCTTGCGGCATCCCTGGCTCACCCTCTAGTGGAGATCTCTAGCCATTGCACCTCCCTTTCTTACCCCTTTTTTTTTTTTTCTCCAGAGACTGCAACAGGTCACTTTTCCAGTTTGGGCATATCAGATGAATATTTATTTCTCTTTTTGTTTGTTGTTTTGGATTTCTTACGTTCTTCGTTTTTTGAACTAATGCTTCTGTGTATGTTTGTATTTGTTGGTTCTTCTCTCGGTGTGCCGACGTCCAGGAATCCAGTGGGTTATATTACTTTGTGCTCATGTTGGCTCCAACTGCTGTGCTCCGTTCACCCACCCAATTAAGCAAACCTGTTATTGTACTGCTAGTGACTCATCCTTGTTTGTTACACTCCTGCACTAAAATACAAACAAATCAAGGATATGTAGCTTTTATTGGTAATTTTTGTTCCCTTTAAAGGAACATACTATCACTTCTTTTCTCGTACATTTTCATTAGTGCTGTGTTGTTTTTTAAAATGAGTTATTTCATCTTCTATTACACATGTAAGGTATATATTTTGTATTTGTAAAGTAGGCTAAGGAAGTTGCACACTGGGCTGACATTTACACTGACTGTGGTAATAGCATTTCTGCAAATAGATCCTCTAGTTTAACATCAACTGTCTGATGAAGTAGGTCACATTATTTAGATATATCAAAAAAAAAAAACAGTTAGTGTAGGTTAGTTACTTCTAACAGTGAACTTTCATTCTCATGGGAGGCTGGTTTTCTCATACACCGAACACGATTCAGGAATATAGTATTTTAAAAGGTTTCAACAAGACATGTTAAGGAGCCCAATCGAAAGGAAAAAAGTGGAAATAAACTGTATATATCTGTACCAAAGAGTTTGCCTTTATGTAAATGACAGTTATGTACAGTTTTTAACAAATCTTATATCATAGCTAAAACGATTTAGCTGGGTAGCTGTGTTTTAATAAAGTGTATGGAAGATGTGTTCGAGCTCAGTTGTATGAATGGCCAACTGTTCAATAATATCACTGTTTTTAGAAATGGGGAGATCTGGTGTTCTGTCATGGTGTCCAAATTTGATCATATCAAAGTAAACTATCTTTATCTGTTAAAGTTGAGCTGAACGGAAAAAAAAAAAAAACTAAATTTACATCAGTTTCATGAGATCTTAGCTTTTGTGTGAGCTGTTAATTTACGAAACTGTACTACACACCATACAATAAAACAGATGTTCATACAAAACTAATGTCTGCACAGATTTATTTTTTATTAAATGTTTGATAAGAAGAATATTTTTTGAGGTGTTTTTAGGTTTGAGAAGCACTTAGTTCATTAACCAAAAGTCACCTTAACTTTATAAAACAAGAGGAATATATATATTAAAAAAAAGGCAAGTTAGAAGATCAGTTTGATCTCAGCTTCATCAAGACTCCTCTGGTTGCTTGTTTTTTTGCCATCAAAGTACATCTGCATCACACTGGGCTCTTCATTGGTCGTGTTCATCAGGAGTTATCTGCAAAAAGGAATGAATACCCTTAGGGATTTATATTTAATGTTAGTTACTAACTCACTCCATAGTAGTGGCCTGTTGACACCCAAACATAACATTAAGTTAACATAGAAATCCACCATTTCAAAAACAACTTAATAAGGGGAGAGATAATGGGGTAGGGCTGTTGCCTCACAGCAAGGAGGTTCATGGTTTTCAATCCCCGGCCTCTCTGTGTGGAGTTTGCATGTTCTCCCTGTGCCAATTGGTGGCTCTAAATTGCCCGAAGGTGTGAATGTGAGTGTGACTGGTTGTCTGTCTCTATACGTCAGCCCTGTGATTGACTGGCAAACAGTCCAGGGTGTACCCCGCCTCTCGCCTATGACATGCACCAAACAGCCCCAGGATCAGGAGTTGAACCTGCGACTGGTGCGATGAAATCTGTATCCTCTTTAAATGGGGCGCCAGCTCTAACAACTAAACTTAATCAGGGCCCCCGCTTACTTTTCTAAGAGTTAAAAAAAAAAAAAAAAGTACTATTAATTTCCTATATTTCCGCAGTAGGTTACACTCTGGGAGTATTTGAACTTGAAGCTGTATCAAAAGGTTAGTATTTTTCATGCTGCTTCACTTGTCACATTGTCTTTGCTTACTGGGACACTTAAAAAGAACACAGACATCATCATTTGTTATCAGTAGACTAACATCTGTTTGATTCTTACATTATAAAGGAAAGTCTGTGGGGAAAAATGACTCAAACATTCTGACTCAAAATTTCAAGCCTAAGACATTACATGTTCAATTCCCTATACTCTCATCTGCACCTCCGACCTTTACATGTTTACATTAACCCTTACCGCCTCCGTCCACCTCAAAGTCATCGGGCAGCAGTTTGTCCTGCCTGTTGCCGAGGGTGAAGGACAGAAAGGCCAGAAGCAGGGCATCCAGAATGCTGATGATGGCCAGGATGTAGGCCCAGCGCACTGTGCAGTTCCCCAGGCTGTATTTATCTGTCCTCTGACCACACATCCTCTTCACCTCCGGAGAGTCCCAACCGTCCGGGTAGATCATGCAGCCCATCACCATCAACACGGCTGTGGGTTGAGGAGAAGGACAATGAAGTGGTGAGATAATGACCTACTTGAATAATACATATTGATTAGAGATATTCTTCTGATCTTCAGGATGTACCCTCATGAATTATAAGTGCAGCAGGGCAAAGGGTGCACGATGTTGCTATTTGGATGGTGTAGACATCTGTTGAGAAAAGTCTTTCATCCGGTAACATTTCTTCAGATTTCTTAAAATTAAATGATGTATCATATGATAAAATATTAGTTAAAGGATGGCAGAGCATTTTGTTTTTACTTCTAGTGTGGAGCTGGACTGATATATCAATATCAGAGGATATTAACACCTCGAAATGTTCCTATAGTAACACATCTGTATGGATGCTGACATGATATCATTAGGCTTATCTGTTTACTATCATAGAAAGGTCAAGGTTCATTCATGCTCAAAAATTCATTATATTGACTGCCATGATGGTTATTGGGAATTTCTTCCCCTCTGTCACAGTATCAGCCGTGATGTAGATATTTAGTTGATGGTTGTTCTGCATTTTAATTGCAGGAGTTTTAATTGTGAATGTGTTTTCCATTGTCTTATAGGCACTTAGACTTCAGCAAAGCTACCATTCCACACAGGCCTTTTATCACAGCTCTGGTTTCCTTGGATCCATTTTGAGTGAGGTGCAGGACTAGATCAGTTAACAACACAGCAACACCTCTTCGTGTTACATGTGAGTTATTCTCCATCAGAGGTGTCAGGGCTGAAACTGGATCCCTTATTGGCTCCCACAGTGATGAGCATCACAGTACAAACACATCACGCTTGAAACCAGAGAGGTGAGAAGGCAACTCATGACTGAGTGAGTTTATCACCTCTCACCCACAGGAGAGACACAGGTCTCTGTCTCTAGACCTGCTGCCTCACTTCAGTGTTTAGATGTTCACGTGCTGAAGGTTTTTAGAGATTTGAAAGGTGTAACTGTATCATCATGACAAAATGAACAAGCTCGGTCCTAAAAGTTGTAATTAAGCTGACATTATACAGTTTTAAAAAGGAGAATACACGTTGGAGTCACTTTCCCTCTTAATGTTTCTCATTCGACTATGATCTTTAACTCTGGCCTATATTTTTATTTTATTTTAATAAAAAAAATAGGAACCTTGAATTAATATTTTAAGCTGGTTGGTGACAAAGTAACTACCGGTATGTTAACGTGCTAATGAAGAAATCAACAAACGCAATGCCTCTCTATAGACAATCTTCTAGGATATACACACTATTCTTATTGATAGTTTAGATTTTTATCAAACTATTTCTTCCCATAAAAAGTTTCACTGTCACTCTAAATTATTATTCTTAACTTAAGCATTATTATGTATTGGATTTTACTTTCCAAAATAATTTGTATGGCACTCATTCATTGTTTATGTTCATCTTGTATATTTCTACGAGTCTTTGTTTTCCATAGTGTAAAGCACATTAATCTGCATTTCTTTTAAGAAAGGGTTAAACTCAGAACTTACTACAATAGCACAACAGTATTCAAAGATAAAGTACTTCTTATGCATAGTAGGCACATTTGTATAGATTTATGTTATTAAATCACCCTAATGCAACCAGGATTTGACTGGTGGTCGTGGATAGTTCGGGTCTTATCAACTTGGAATGATTTTGATCTGCTACTCTTGTCAATATAAGCATCCTGTTTACATTTTTGATCCATTTGTATGTTTAAAACACCAGAATATAGTTTATACGTGTATAGACCAGAGTATAATATAAAGTAGAACACAATGGAAGTCTTTATCACAGAACTTCAGAAGTGTAAAGTGCTGCAGAAAAATAACGGAGCACACGTCTGCTCACCGGAGGCCAGCTGCATCCAGGCGCAGATCCGGTACACGTTCCCGGCGTTGCAGAAGAAGAAGAGGCTGAAGCAGACCATGGTGCCCACGATCAGCAGCATGGAGGTCCCCACGAAGAACATTGCCGTCCTGAAAGCCGGGGAGGGGATGGAGCCAAAGTCCAGCACGCTGCCCTTACAGATGAGCTCTGAGGTGAGCGCGTTACCAATGCAATAGTGGAAGAGGCCGAAGTAGCCAGCCTGCGGGGTGTTGACGCTGTCCCCGATCCAGAAGGGCTGGATGAAGACCACCACGGTGATGATGACGAAGCAGATGGTGAACACGGCCCACATTGCACCAATGGCGCGCGAGTTTCTCACATAGTTAGTGTGGTAGATTTTGGCGGCTTCTTGAGCCGGAAGAAGGTCCATGTTTGCGAAAAAGTTAGTATCTGATTAAAAAAAAAAAAAACTTTAAGAAAAGAAGTCAGCTTTTCTAAAATACCCCTTATGTTGATTTAAATTGTTAACATTTTCTTAACAAACCAAAAAAAAAAGTAATTCAGATATCCTCTAGTCTTTAAACGCTTCACCAATAGTCAACACCTGTTTAGGCTGAAGCGGCTCTGCGATGTCCGTTCTGTTTCAGCATTCAGCACCCTGGACAGCACCCGCCTCCTGCTCTGACGTCAGAGATTGACAGCTGTCCGACGACTTTCCCAAACCTGAAAATACAGACTTTCCTACCGGGTTAAAGAGAAACTTCCTATAGTGCTGTTTAATTGAACTTTAATGTTCGTGCAGATGTTCAGTTTACTGAGTAACCTGAGTCTCTGATTAAAGAAGAGCAGACGTAACTCAGTTAATATAGGTCAGGTAAGAATAACCATACTTAATGTCTTTTTCTTTTAAATGGCAGTCCGTAAAGGAGCTTTTGTATAAAAAGAAGATTATTCTTGCCCTTTCATTGAGACTACCAATAAGGATGGCTACATACTAGTAGCAACCAGTTTTTCAACAATATATTTTCTGGCTTGAGGACTATTTATATAATTTATATTTGAACTATCTTTGGCTGGTTTTCTTCAAGATCGTTTAAATACTTGCATACATTTTGATAACTACAGGTTATAAATGAGCAAATATGTAACTTTGATACAGTATTTTTTTCCAAACAAATAAGTATTACCTTTTCACAAAAAGTACATCTTTACTTTTGGAAAGTGCAATGCTATATTTTTAAACTTTCTGCCTCGTTGCCGATATCAACTTCAAAATTGCACAAGCTGAGTCTTCTTATTGGAGTTTAAAACTTCCTGCCAGTGACGGGAATCTAATAAGGAGTTAATTTGGAGATATTGAAAAAGACTTACACGGTTAGATTATAGCTTTAGAATTGTTGTTGTGGGAGGATGTTCTCAGTTCAGCTGCATCACGAAACTCCAAATGACAGGGAAGAAACAGCAGAGATGTGTGGAAGCTATCACACCACACAAACGCATGTTGGCAGCTTGAAATCCATTTTTTTTTTCTTTTTTAACTTCTGCTCTGTCACGTCTGTTTGGGAGACACTTCTCTTCCATTTCCATCGACCTTGTGTGGGTGCAAATGTTAACAAATACAACACCACAATTCAGAATCTTACTTACTGCTGCCTGAAATTCTAAAATATTTCTAAATGTCCCCTTTTAATGTGACTGTCTTTAAAAACACAAATTATTGTTTTAAACTTACAACATACTGATTCCGCTCTTTACACATGTTTTTTTTCTTTTGAAATGTGGTGACATTTTCAGTTCGGGATAAGATGGGTGGCAGAGCATGACACCTTCTGTCCCCGTCACCCTCCACTTAGACGTTCATAACAAGCAGACTCAGGCCTCCTACTTGACACTTTGTCATGTGTGGAGGAAAGTTCTTAAGGATGAGCGACTGTCCCACATCTCCAGGGGATCTGTGAGGGCTCCCTGCAGCTCAGGAGGGACAATTTACTGCCTGTGTGTGTAGGGGGGAGAAAAGGAAACACAAGCTCTGCCTTACACACTCAGACAGACAGAGAGACAGAAGGCATGGAGGTTTTGATGAAAAAAGACAAGTAAATCTAAGTCTATTGAGGAAAATTGAGAAGGAGCTGCTTTAGATTGCTGCTCTAATGAGGCCTAATCCCTGATACAAGAGAAGACACAGCTTCTAAAGAGCCTGCTAAGATTTCATCAAGTCTGATTATTCTTTAATGATGTCTTACAGAGAAAACGGTGCAAAGACTCCTCTTCATCATCAAGGCTTCTGAACACAAGCTCATAGTTATTGATTCACAATTTTGGAGACTTAACCTCTTATGTGTTTTCAGGCTTGTTAATGAAAGGCTGTACAGATTTAAGGGAATTTGTGAATTCCTAAATCCACTTTGCACTCAGAACTCGCGGTTATGAATTAAAAGATAAATCTATGACTTAGAGCAGCGCTGCGGTGTTAAAGCTCCCAAGGTGGATAATTCAACTTTATTTCCCCTCATTAGCAGAACGATCAAGTTGTTAAACTGTGTTCTCACCTTCATATTTGTGATCAAAAATTTCAGAAAAGAATTGTACATTGTGAAATATAATGCTTGAACAACAACACTCTTCGTCTCTCTGCTCATGTTTTAAGTGCAGAGGCCATAGATGAGTCCAACAGTGAACGGCACTGTTTTAAAACTCTGTGAAAGGAGGACATCATTGAGGCAGAACACCTATACAGTGAGGCAGGTGAGTACAGCCAGGGACAGGTAACACACTCAATATCCTTTAGAAAGGTTATTGTGTGTAGATCACTTGATACAGATTATTGTCAGTGATGGATATTTAATGCAGTTTCTTTGAAGAAAGTGGGGAACTGTCATCCCTAGGGACACTTTGGAGAACAGCAGGTGGTGGTGGGAGGGGGGGGGGGGGGGGTACTGAGATTAAGACCAAACGAAGGGAAATAAAAGAGCACATTTAATTTTGTCTCTTTATGAAATTAGTATGAAGCCCTGCTGATGAAATAAATAACTGTCTATTAGTCATGATTTAAAAAGCTAATAATTAAATAAAGCTCTGTGCAGTGAGGCGGTTAAGTGACTGTTTAGAAATATAATGAGCAGGGAAAGATCCTTTGATAATTCATTGCTGTGAAAGAGAATTGATGAGTGGAAATCCCAACTATTTATCGATTACTGGTAGATTTTCAAATCTTTGGATTTTCGGCATTTCTTCTTACCAAGCTAAATACATTTCAATCAGGAGAGACTTTAGTAAGAGTTTACAATTATTTATTCAACTGTTTAGGAAAAGATAAATGTGCAATGTCTTTGGCGATTACACTCTGTCAGGATGACTTCATGAACTCAGAGGGGTAGCCAGGCTGACAGCAGGATAGGATACCCCCCCTGATGGAGTCTAGACACTGGTGGTGGTGGTTGTAATAGAAGAATGTAGAATCTGATGAGGAGTGGGTTTCTAAGGCTGTATCTGAACTCTGCTGAGCTGGAATGGAGGTGACTCGGTCGGAGGAGGGTCGCAGCGATCACACTGAAATGACAAACTGACCGTGGAAGATAGGGAACAGATTTTAAAGTTGGACTGCAGCAATATGATTGGTTGAGAGAGGTTGTGGTAGAATTGGGTTTGATTATTACTTAAAGAGTAAATGTCCTGATCACCAGAGCAGAGAGATGGGGGAAGCGGTAGAGAGGGAGTGGCTAACTTAAATGGAGGAAATAGAATAAATGTGTGAAAGAATATAACCTGTCTTCCTACTTAAACTTACACTGAGCTCCATTTGTGTGAACTATGGGTGGTTAGCCTCTTCCTGTTTAGACAGTACCTGTTCTATCAGCTATCAGTCACCTTGCTGCTGCTCCTTTGAAAACTAGCACAGAGTTTTTGTCAGCATTTCTTCAGGACAGAAATATCAATGCTGCAACAGTCACAGAAAACTCCAAAAGTACATTAAAGGACTTGTTTCTTGTATTACTTTACCAGGATTATAAATATGTTGAGACAAAGCTGTATGCGTGTGGCACAGAGGATATTAAGCTTAAACACAGCATTTAATCAAACTCTATTGCAGCCTAATTAGAGCTGTAAAAGAGAACATTTAACCAGAATTTCTCCTAGGAAAATCACGTGAAAATGGTTTTGATAAAAGTGTTTTGATACATGCTGTAAGTTTTGTTCTTCAGTAATAGCAGGAACACCCACTGAAGTTTGGAAAAGTAAGTCATAAAATCCCCCAAATAATTTTAATGAGCAGCAATCTAAAACCTGCAGTTCACAGGTGGGGTTTATCTCCCCTAAAAACAGATCTTCATCGTTAGTCAGAGTTGGAGCTAAAAGTTGGTACCAAGTACAAATTTGTGTCTAGTTCAATTCTGCTTTTATGCATTAATTAGTAAGTATTTTCACTATGGTCACCTGAACTTTACATCATTTCACACTCTCCAGTATTGTCCAGGTGATATAAAAGGAATACAAATCAAAATAATCCAGTTTGGATACTAGCACTGGAGAAATAAACATAATCTTTATCTAATAAAGTGTAATCAAAGACAACAGAAAAAAGAGAAGTGCACATAGTCATCAAATTTGAATATGCGTTCTGTCAAATCCAACAAGTGGAAACTGTGATTTGCCCTTTTAAAAATCATTGAATGACTGCTTGTCAGCAAGGAAACAGAAATACTTGATGACAATGTTACTCCTTGATGTGGAGGAGTTTATTTCAGTGCAGTCACCACTGACGGAGCAGCGGGTTATTTCTGCCTTTAATAAATACCAGTGTGGAATCTACAATTCTGATTCATGGTCTCAGTCAAATTTAGGAGGCATGTCAAACTGAAGTAGAGCCACTTTTCTCACAGATGTCAACAAAATGCTCCCTGTCTACACAAGGCTCTGTGCAAACGGCTTGAATACCTTAACCTTGTCATCTTTTAGAAAAAACAAAAATGTAGCTGCCATTTGAACACAAAAAACTGAAATATTCAGAGATAAAGATTACACTTTTTAAGACTGTAAAAATCTTCTTTTCCAGGCCTAAATAAGAAGCTACACCAGATCATCAAAAAGGAACACTGCAGCCGGGTTAGCGGCTCTGTCAGGCTCTACTCTGTCAGTGTTATTTTGAGATTTAAGCTAACAAAATGATGCACAGTCATAATTCTTATATGCAAATGTTTTGCAGGTAGGATGTCTTCAATCTTACCCTTAAAGTTTTCTCAATGTAGTGCTGTCGCATGCAGACAACACACAGCTAATGTGAACAGGCAGTTGAATTGCATCACTCCTTAAAAATAATGTCTTTAAGTTTTCACTGGGCTGAGACATACCTCTGCAGCTTGTCAAAGCGACGAGAATTAATGTGTAAGAATGGATCCAGTCACACACCATTAAACCTCCCTGGGTCCTTTTGTAAATGGGGGAGTTCTACTTCCTCGGCTCATCATATTTCTCTCCATAATCCAATCTGAGATGTGTGAGCTGTTGTAAAATGGCCTGTGGCACTTCTAATAACCATGGCAGCTTTATTACATTTATAGCTAACTTTCATCAAATGAACGACCTGCTTATTCCTTGATGTGA